ACACTTTATTATAGCCATTTTTTGGATGAGTCTTATTTCCCATAGCCAAGTGCAAGTGTCCTGAGGGTACTGACTGCTTCTTGCTTATCTTTGCAAACCCTGAAGTAGCTGGAGTGGGGCTCATGGTGGATACCTCTCATCAGACTGAACCTTCTGGAAGAGCGACTAGGTGAACTGCTGTTCTGCTTAGGAAGGTGGTTACTTAGAGTGAGCTCGAATTCCTGGCTGTTGCTAACTCAGCTCCAGGCAGAGGTGTGGCCCCAGGTGGAGGATGCGGGGAGGCAGAGGATGGTGCCTGGGGCCTGGCTCACTTGTGTCATTGGGACTTCATGTTTTGTTTTCTACCTGAATGTATTTTCCCTCAAGAGGTGTACGATAAGGACAAATACAAGAATAGAATGGAAAAGGAGAGATTTTAGGCATTGTATTAGTTTTCTAGGGCTACTGTAGCAAAGTGCCACAAACTGAGTGGCTTAGCAATAGAAATTTATTGTCTCACAGTTCTGGAGACTAGAAGTCCAAAATCAAGGTGTTGGCAGTGTCGGTTCCTTCTGAGGGCTGTGAGAGAAGGATCTGTTCCAGACCTCAATCCTTGGCCTGTAGATGGCCCTCTTCTCCCTGTGTCTCTTCACATTGTCGTCCCTTTATGCATGTCCCTCTGTGTCCAAATTTCCCCTTTTTAAAGGACACCAGTCACATTTGATTAGAGTCTACCCTATTGACCTCATTTTAATTTGATTATCTCTATAAAGACCCTATTGTGAAATAAGGTCACAGTCTGAGGTACCGGGGGGGGGGGGGGGTTAGGGCTCCAACTTATCTTTTTTGGTGGACACAATTCAACCCACAACAGGTCTTGAGAGATTGTAGTAATTCTTTGATGGGAAGTGGTCCCCATCAGGGCTCTCAGTCGTAGGAGTTGAGCTGCTGGCTCTGTCCACAGGACAGTGTCCCTTCCACAAGTGCCCTGAGAATATATCCTGCTCAGCGAGGGGTAGACCCTCCAGGAAACAGCCAGATAATTTTGTCATTGCACAAGAGATTCTCACCTGGCAGGCAGCTCGCAGGCTTTCAAGCATCCACAGCGGCTGTGTTCAAGCCCTGGCAAACCTGTAAGTCTCTCTATTCATAGGGGAAGGGTATATGGCTTCCAACTCAGGTGACTAGGCCTGGATCAGGTCTCTAAGAGGCCCAGGCCTCCAGAGAGGCTCTGAATCTCTTCAGAGGAGCCTGTTTGGGGCCAGCTGATCTTCTTCACTGAGAAGCCTCAGTGGGGCTTCCCCTTGCACAGCCCTGTCTTCCTGATCTCCTCATCTGCTATTCTGAAACTGAAGGTAGCAAAGGATATCTCATGAGTAAGGTATAAAATTTTGCAAATTGATTATGTTAAATGAAGTCCGTAAATATTGTGATTGAAAATCTTAGCACTGTCAATAAATATTTACCGAGGACCCACTATGTGCTAGGTATTGTGGAAATATTTATTGAGCATTGCAATAGGTTGCAAAACTACCCTTGATTCTCTATCCATCTCTGTGTCCATGTTCCTTGCAATGTGACTTTGCTGCTCCCGCCATCAGGAGATGGAGTCTACTTCTCCACCCTTGAATCTGGGTTGGGCTTGTGACTTGGTTTAGTCAGTTCAACTATGGAAGTGACGTACTGCCAGTTTTGAGCCTAGACCTCGAGAAACCTTGTATGATTCCAGTCGTGCTCTTGGAACCCTGTAGCTCCATGTGAACCAGCCCGGGCTAGCCTGCTGGTGGATGAGGGACACGTGGCCCAGTTACCTCAGTTGACAGCTAGCCACCTCCTGGAAGCAGGGGCCTTTGGCTCCCTTGCTGCTGGCCCCAGATGCATGAGGGAGTCCAGCTGAGATCAGAAGAGCTGCCCAGCTGAGCCCAACCTAAAATGCTGACTCCCAAATCATGAACTAAATAAACAATTGTTGTTTTAAGCCACTTTTAAGCTTTGGAGTGTTTCATTGTACAGCAAAATGTGTCTAAGCACTCACCACGTGCCAAGCTCTGGTCTGTTTAAAATCAAGCAGAGCCTTGGGAGAAAAGACTTGTGCGGAGATGGCATGATAATGAGCATGATGCAGGCAGTGCTCTGGAGAGCAAACACACAAGGAATAGAAGAGGTGGCATTGGGGCTGAGACGGCGTCTTGTCCACCTGGAGTTGGACGGTCCAGAATGAAACTCCTGGAAGAGGGAACCAAGTAAGGTAAGGTGTGAATGTGGGAAACCCCAGGTTGAGGCTGTCAGTCAGTGGTATTTACTGAGCACTTATTAAATGCACGGAAGCACTGTACTGGCTATCTCAGGTCTGCGTACGGCCTAGCAGGGGAGAGAAGACATCCACGTGTGGAAGTTGGCCAGAAATGTAAGGCTGGTTTTAAATGGAACAGAAATAGCAGGGTCTGCTTTGTCCAGAGTAATAAGGATCTTGGCTTGTGCAGAATGGGACTGAATCCACTTGTTATTTAGCTCTGGTACCTGGTATATACATGGCAGGGGTGGTGTGACGATGAGGTTGGGGAGAGGCCTCCATAGTCTTCCTGGGAAAGCACAAGCAGTCAGCAAACATGGCTGCTCAGGCCTCCACACGTGTGGGTAATGCCTCGAGGGCAGGGTCTGTGTCTGATGCATCTTGGTATACCCCAAGACACAGGGCCTTGCATACACTAGGCATTCCGTTTTGAAAGATTTTCCTTGCAGCTATTTCTCATCGCCTTCCCTTTATTCCTGCTCACCCGCTGTATTTGCTTCCTAGGGCTGTTGTAACAAATTGCCACAAGCTGGGGGGCTTAAAACAAGAGAAATTTATTCTCCCACAGTTCTGGAGGCTAGAAGTCTGAAATCAAGGTGTCGGCAGGGTTGGTTCCTTTTTGGAGGCTCTGAGGGAGAATCTGTTTCTTGCCTCTTCTTAGCTTCTGATCCTTGCCCACAGTCCTTGGGGTTCCCGACTTGTAGACATGTCACTCCAATTTCTCCCCCCATCTTCACATGGTGTCTCCCTGTGTGTATCTTCTTATAAGAACACTAGTCACACCCTACTCCAGTATGACCTTATCTTAACTAATTACATCTGCAATGACCCTATTTCCAAATGAAGTCACAGTCTGAGGTATCGGCGGTTAAGACTTCAACATATCTTTTGAGGGGGGAGGGGACAAAATTCAACCCATAACATCCGTCAACGTGTGCGTTCCTTGTCTGACTGCCCCCGTTCCCGGAGGCAGAATGAAATGTTCTTTCTTCAGGACTCCCATACTCAATCCATGCTTCTGTTTATTAGAGCATTGGACTCGTTGATCATCACCGGCTGGGTTGGGGCCTCATGTCTTTTGTCCTTGCCATGGCGCCTCTTAAGGGGTATCTGGTGAGTCCTCCATAAAGGAAGGCCTGTGGAGCAGCTACCTTTCCCGGAGCTATCATCTGGGCACTGCGCTAAACATTTCATGTATTAATCCTCACAATGACCCTGTGAAGTAGCTATTTATATATTTTAATTCCTATTTAATAGCGGAGAACAGTGAGATTTAGAGAAGTGAAGTAACAGTGTAGCCAGAATTACTGTCTCTCAAAACCTGAATGGCACCTGAAGGCATCACATGAAAAGTTTCCTATTCCCCATCTTCACGTTTTTCAAAGTACTCCTGATCTTGCTAACTCAACTCCATCTCCTTCAGAAATACATATCTGGAGCCTCAGGCCTATCGATCCTGGGATTTGTTGCACGTTCCCGTCCATATCCCTGCCCTCCCAAGCGTTTTCCCTCCAGAAGCCGCACACAAAGCGGACCCACCCTGCGGACGAGAGCGCGCGGCCGCCTTTCCGCGCGCGCCCCGCCCGGGCGCGGCGTGAGGACCGGCGCGCTGATTGGCTGCGCGCGGCCCGGGCCCGCGGCCTGCTCCCGCCCCGGCGCGTATCCCGGCGCCGCGATTTGCCGAGCGGCCGTGCGCGCGGATCCCGCAGCCCCGCGCGCCCTACCTGCCGGCTCCTACGCGCCGCTGTTGCATGGGGCGCCGCCAGCGGCCGAGGGAGCCTGACTGCGCTGCGCAGGGCGCTAGGAGGCATTGTCGCCGTAAGTGGAGCAGAAAGCGGCCCGGACACGCTTCGTGCCCCGCAAAGTAAACGTAGTCTGAGGCTAAGCGCTGGAGGGGCTGGGGGAGAGAGGGAGAGAAGTGTCCCCGTTTCTGCAGCGTACCCTCCCCTCCCCCAGGTCACCCGGTGGAAGGAGAAGCGGTGCACCAGCTGCGGCTTCTGCGGTGCCAAGGGGCCCGGCGCCGCGCCGGCTCTTGCTTGCAGACTGCGGCTGGACCCCGGCTGGCTCGGGGGAGTGGGCACCGCGCTGCCAGGGAATAGGGAGCTCGGGGAATCTGTCCCGAGTGGGCCTCCATTCCCCGTGGGAGGCGCCCCTGCTGGGAGAGGCCGTTGTATATTTCGTCCCTGAAGCGACACTTTCGGGATTTGCTTCCGCTCTGGGGAGCTGCATACGCCTACTCCAGACCGTGCCTCTCGGCCTCCGGGTAGCGCGGGAGTCCCCGGCCCTCTGCGCTCACCTGCGTTCCCTCCTCTGCCTACTTTATTCTCCCCAGTCCCCGCCTGCCCCGAGAGCGGAGGGCCGGCGACGAGGAGCCATTGGCTGCGGACGCCGGGGGGTGGGGTAGACGGGTGAGGCGGCCTCCTTGTGCGAGGCGCGGGGACCCTGGCCTGGCCACCGCAATCAGTGCTGGGAAGCGCAGCCCAAGGATGCTCAGATGCCCATAGGGAAGCCCGCGCAGGACGCTGCGAACCCCGTGGCTCAAAAACAAGGCGCCAGGCCGTCCCGCTGACGCCCCAGCGGGCTTCTTTCCCTTGGGTGGAAAAGTAGGTCAACTTTGTTCTGGCTTCGAGTGGGCCTTCGGGGCAACTTGGGTCCAATCTAGCCGGCTGCCTCTCACCTCGCCATCAGCTCTCCCGCTTGGCGTGGTCCAGAGGACCCGCTGGAGCCTGCGATGGGGGGAGCTTGCACACATGGCTCAGGAGGCTCGAGTTGCTCTTGGGAGCGGCTGCCAGGCTCTAAAGTTCCCAAGTGACCACACAAGTAACTAAATATAGGAGCAGCTGGTGCGGACGGGGTGTCGCAGCAGCTCCTTTGCACAGATCTCAGGGCTGTAGGTAAGGTAGAGTTCTCACTGGTGAGGGCGGGCGCCGTGGCAGGGGGCTGCTGTCAGGTTTTAGGCAAAAATCACCCCTCCCCCAGCCTTGAATCCAGGTGAAACCAAGTTATAGATACAGGAGGGCAGTATTGCCAGCTCTCACAAAGCAGGACTTGTTTTTCTGGCCTTCAATTTATCATATCCTAACTTACTGTCTGTACTTGTTTACTCACCTGTTGGTAATGCCTTAGTGTGGGAAGTGCTTAATAGTTTGCAAAGACCTTCCTTAAAAGTTATATAATATTTATATCTCAAAACAACCCAGTGAGGAAAGTGGTATTTCCATTTTACAAACAGGACTGTTAACAACACTGAGAACTTTCCAAAACTCTGGTTGGGTTAGGCTGCTCTCCTCAAAAAGCTTTTCACAGTTCCCTGCAGAGAAACAGAGGCCAGACTTATAGGAGGGCTTCCAGCCCCCTCGCCCAGTGATCTGGGGACAGCCTGGCTGCCTGTTTCCTTCTTTCTCTCATCATTTTGGAACCTCTGCTTAGCCCCTGTTGCTGTTCTCTCCTCCCAGCCATGCCATGTGCCTTCATGGCAGAGGGTACACATACTCCTTGGGCCAGGCGTCGAGGCCCTATCAGCATCGGGCTCATTCTGCCTCTTGTCCCAGAGTCTGTCTTACCCGACGGGAAGCTCGTTCTGCCCCGTGCCTTGCCTCTGTACCATTTCTCCCTCAGTGCGGGCCTTATAGAAGATGCCCAGGAGATGTTTGTTGGATTTGAACATTTCCCGGGACTGTGTGCACACTGAGAAAGGGGAGTTGGGGATGTGTGGAGAGGGATATGTTGCTGGGACAGCAGCAGTGTGAGTATGAGTTTGGACCCTGTGCTGAAGGGTCTCCAGGATTTGGAGCACTTTCTTTGAAATTTTCTAAGGCCGCCTTCCAGTGCTTGGGAGCAGCTGGGGCCAGTAGAGCCATCGGATTGGGGTGCCCCAAGCCCAGACCAGACCCATGTGGGCTGGTGGTTCTTGTTTCTCCCCTTTGGGACACTCTGACTTTCTGCCACCACCACCCTTACCTGTGGGGTTGACCAGATGCCTCACGGAGCCCAGAACTTGGGCCTATGGGGTTGCCTTGGGGCCCTGTGGTTGGGTTCTGATTCCAGGAGGGCTGCCTTGCATGCTGATTGCTCCCACTGGCCAGTGTGATATTTTTTTTGTGGGGCTGCATGAGATTGGGCGGCAGAATGATGCTGACATGCTGATTTTGGTTGATTCAAATTGGGTGGCCCTGGCTAGGGGGCTTTGCCCTCAGTCGGAAGTGGGTCCATAGCTCCCCCCCCCCCCACTTCTCTCCAGGCTCCTGTTGCATGCTAAATAAATTCTTGCTATTTTTTTGTCAAGGAGGCCCAGTGTTGGGATGGGGCTGCAAGGAGCAGTCAGTGAAGTTGGACAACCTTGTAAGAGCCCTTTTGGGGACCCAGTCCAGACTCCCATCATCCCAAGTTTGTCCTTCCCTCAGTTCTGGGCGCCTTTTACTCCATCTTAGGCCTTCTACCACAGGTGGCTCTGCCACCCTCCCTTCTCACAGCCCTGCCTATGCTGGAGCGACAGGCCTTTGTCATCTGACCTGGGAGAGGGACTGTCAGCTGGACTTTATGAAGGAATTCTCCCTTGAGGGGAGGGGTAGTTTTAGGGGAAGGGAGGGTAGTTTTCTAACCAGTTAGTGGGGATGGTGATTTTAGGCAGCAGGAACATTTTGAGGGTCTAGGGCACAACTGTGCTGTGCCCAGAGCATCCTCAGGAATGTAAGGACACCCCCCCCCCAGTGAATTGCTCTGATGCTCAGACTTTACAGGTTGCTCCTATTGCTGCCTTGATGTCTGTCCTCTGACCCTTACCATAGGGTGTCTGAGCTTGCCACCAGGGGTGAGGTTTTTAATCTGGGACTAGTTTTCATCATGGGCTCTGTGGCCTAAGGCACCACCGCCCCCACCTGGTGGCAGCTAGTAGAATTGCAGGCATAGTGCCTGATTGAAAGTAATTAGCCTAGACCCCACCAGGGTTAGCACAGACCCTGGGCAGCTTGGCGATTTACCTTCCCTGTCCACTCTGCTGTGAGGCCAGGGTTGCCTGAGTGATGTTTAGAAAGCTCTTTCTCATCAGAATCGCAAGCCAAAGCTATTTCCTGTATTTCTTTCATCTTTCTTCATTCTTATGCCCTATACCTAATTGATGCTCAATACATGTTTGTGATTATTGATGATGAATATTAGAGATGGGGAAAGGTGAGAGCATGGTATGGTAGGAGGAATCCTGGGCTGCGAGTTAGGAGACCTAGGTTTTGGTTTCCACCTAGCTGATTTACCTCCCCTCTTGGGTCCTCAGTATTCCCATTCCTAAAGGGGTTAGAGTAAGTCACCAAGATTCCAGCAACATTGCTGTGACTCAGCTTAGGAGAATGGTCTTTTTTTTTTTTTTTGGCTGAGGAAGATTCGCCCTGAGCTAACATCCACTGTCAATCTTCTTGTTTTTGTATGTGAGCCTCTGCCACAGCAGGGCCACTGACAGACGAGTGGTGTAGGTCCGCACCCCACAATCGAACCCGGGCCACCAAAGCAGAGCATGCCGAATTTAGCCACTAGGCCACCAAGGCTGGCCCAGGGGAGTAGTCTTAAAAGTAGCACGATGAAGGTGTTGGGTCCAGTTTGCCATAGTTCTCACTACTCCCTACTGTCCTACCCTGGCCCACCTTATGCAGGTTGCCCACCTGGCACTGTTACGTATTTGAATTTATGACCCTTCTCATTTAGACAGTGTCTTAGATTTGTTGTAAGAGTGAGTTGACTTGTATTTAGATTTGAAACCCAAATGGTGGCTGTTGATCATCATCAGTACCACTGGGGGATACTAACTGAGCATCTGTTTTCAGTGTGTGGTGTAAAGTGCAGGGGCAAAGCACAACACAGATCTGCTCCCTGCCCTGAGCTGCCCTCAGGACGACTGGGGAGACAAGTATGCATGTTTAAAAAAGTTCATAAACAACCCAAATGGCTTGTGCTAAGGCATCGAGTGCTACTGAAACTCAGAGGGAGGAGAGAACACTGAGGGCTGGGGCAATGAGGGAAGACTTCCTGGAGGTAGACAGATGGATATTCTACTTATTCCTCAAAGATGAGTTCCACTGAGTTGTTTGTTCAAAGTCACGTGGCTATGAAACTGGGATTAGATGCTGGTGTCGTGTCTGCACATGTACTGCTTTATCCTTTCAACTAGGATTTATTGAGTACCTACATGTCCTGGGCCTTGGGCTAGAAAGGTATATATATCTTATTCAATCCTCATATGAACCCAGCGAGAGGGCTATTACTAGATGTCCTACTCAGATGAAGACACTGGGGCTTGGAGTAGTTAAGAATCTCTCCCACAGCTTCTCAGCTAATAAATAGCAGAGTTAGGCTTTAGGCCTGTCTTCGAAAAGCAGTCTTTCCCCCCTGCACCGTGGTCTCAAACTTCCCATGTCAGCCTCCTTGGGGAGATGCGCGCACACACACACACACGGAACTCACCACTAAACTCTCCCCTGAGCAGATGGTGGGCTTGGCCAGCCCGCTCGGCCTCGCCTGCCCAGTCTGTCCGGTTGAGCACATGTGGATTTTCTCCTGGTATCTGTTAGCAGCTCCGAGTGCCACCCTCACCCTCTTCTCTCTGCCCTTCACGTTATTCTGCGCTTGACCCTCCGAGGGCGTTCATTAGAGCTCCTTGAGCTGTCGGTGAAGCAGGGGTTGGGATCCGGGGCAGAGAAGGGCGCTGACCTTGGCCTCAAGTTTGTTCTCTCCGTGGGATGCTGCTGCCGGTGGTGTGGGTGACTTTTGTAAAGGAGTGAGCACTGGGCATGCAGCTGGGCTGGCTGGATTACTGCCACTTATTCCCTTTGACCTTGGCCAGGTCATTTAGTCCCTCCGTATGCCTCAGTTTTCTTCTCTGTAATAAACAGGGAGTTGGCGAGTCCCTTATGTCTTTAACACCTAATAATTTTGATTGTGTTCCTCACCCTTCTTTAAGCCTCTTCTCCCCCAGTGATCCAACTTGCCATCTCTCGTTTCTCTACCCCACCCCCCGTTCCCTTGGGGTCTTGCAGATAAACTCAGCGTCAGGCTGACAGTCAGGTCTGCAGGCTAAAACTGTAACCTTCCCTCCATATTGAGACCACCCACCTGCCAGACTGAGCTCTGACCAGGCAGGGCTACCTTTCATTTGCCCTTGTGTCCCCACTTCCTGGCATGCATGAGGAGCCTGGCAGAGGTGGGTGGGCGAAGGGGAGCTGGAGGAGCTGTCCTAGGGGTTGTGGACCGGGCGCCAGCTCCAAGGCTGTGGGGTGGAGGGTCAAGTGTCTGTCTCCTGCAGTTGGCTGCGCCCTGCCTCCTCCCCACTGCTCCCCCTGTTAAGTGAGTCACAGGCCAGCACACACTTTGAGTCCTCACACCCGCCCAACCACTCGTTCGGGCCCTGGCCCAGGTCCAGGTCAGATGAGGTCACACGTGTCAATCCTCCTGGGAAACTGGTAGGGCTGGGCCCCCAGCCTCTGATGGGCACATCGGACACTCTGAAGGCCGAGCTGGATGTGGCCTGGGCTCTGGGCCCCTCGGGAGGAGGTGAGTGGCCTGGGGCCCTCCCTGCAGTCTTCCTTGCAGCCTGGGTCCCCTGGGAGGGTGGATTCAGGGGTGGGGCCCAGGCTGGTGGTCTGGTGCTTCACAGCCCTGTGTCTTCCCTAGGCCCAGGTCCCCTTTTGAGCAGCAGACCGGCCTGGTGGCTGGCAGCAGAACACCCTTGTCTGCATGCTGAAGAAGATGGGTGAGGCTGTGGCCAGAGTTGCGAGGAAGGTCAACGAGACGGTGGAGAGCGGCTCCGACACCCTGGGTGAGTGAGGGCGGGACTTTCCAACTGCAGGGCGCCCTGTACGTGGTTTGCGATATCAGTTTAGAAATGCGATAGAGAAGATGGAAGAGATAATATCAGTGTGCGCCCCTCGCCACGAGGAGAAGTGTTTCACGGATGTCTCGCGCAGCTGTGTTTAGCTTGTGTGCACCGGGTCCCAGTGTAAGGCATATTTCTTACCGTGGGTCGTAGTCAGAGATGTTTGAAAACTACAGAGTGAGGGGTTCCAGCCACCCGGAGCCTGTCTGCCTGCCCTGGGCTGCTGGTGACTCCGAGTGTGTATGTGCCCTTGGCCCAGGGGATGAGAGCTGGCACTGCCTAGCAGCCCCAGGTACCAGGCCCTGTGCAGGTGCCCCATGACTGTTGCCTTATTGAGTCCTCACAGCCTCCCTGTGATGGGTGATACCCACCAGGCATGATGGGTCTTCAGATGAGGAGGAGATGGAGGGTTGAACGCAAAGTGGGCTTCTCTCAGGTCACCCAGCCAGGAGGCCCCTTTCACTCCACAGTTTTACTTGAATTGTCTCGTATATATTTTTTGCTTTGAATTGGTCATAGCATTTTATTCTGTAGTTGCCCCGAGACTCAATGCATTTAAGCAAATCATCCCATTTAATTGAATTCAACAGCTGTTATTGACTATCTGCCGTGTGCAAGGGTTAGCAAGGGATACAGTGCGTGTGTGTGCATGCGTGCATGTGCGTCTCACACGCTGGAATGTAAGTGCCACCTTAGAGCCGCAGGCATTCTGTGGGAACCCAGAGGAGGGGAGCATAGTCCGCCTTGGGGATGATTGTGCAGGGGGTCAGGGTGGGATCTTAGGTGGGCTTTTGGCGCACGGAGAGGAATTTGCCAGGCAGATGGGGTTGTGTGTGTGTGTGTCTGTCTGTCTCATGAAGGAGCATTTCCATGGAGGTTACTGCCTGAGCAAAGACCCAGAGACTGGAAAGGGAGAGCCTTTCTATGAGCAGCCTTTGGTCAGATGTGTCTGAGGCTCCTGGGGCAGGGGGTCGTGGCCCAGAAAGTGGAGGGACACTCAGCCTTCAAGATGAGCTTGGCCACCACCTCTTCCAGGAAGCCCTCAGCCCTACTCCATCTACCCCTTGTCCCCTTCCTTCTCTGTACCACCCGTTGAGTGTCCCTAGAGGGCAGGGATCCATCTTTTGTCTCTTGTCCCCCACTTCCTAGGAGCCAGGGCACTGTCAGGCACTTTGTAAGCACAGGGAGGTGTTTGCTGGACTGAGCTAAAGTGAGAGAAGCATCTCCTCCATCAGCAAACATACTTGAAGATTGGCATTGGTTTTGGAGGGAAGTTTCTGGTGAGCTGACGGCTGTGGGCCCTCAGAAAAGGAATTCTGGAAACCTGCCTGGTCTCTAATACGGTTGTACTCACCCCAGTGTTCAAGGCTCTCCACCAGTAACATGGCCGGGATTAGAATCCCTGCTCTGCCACCTACTAGGTTGCTACCTTAGCAGGTTGCTTAACCTCTCTGAGCCTTGGTTTCTTCATCTATAAAATGTAGATGGTAATTGTGCCTACCTCATCAAGGTGATTAGGAGTAATTGTGATGTCTGTCAGGTGCTTGGCATGTAGGTCGCTCAATAAATGGCAGCTACTATTTTTAATTTATTCTCATCTCCAAGGGCCGGAGGTGCCTGAGTCCCTCCCATCCTGTGTCACAAACACACCTCCTCTAGGTGTCAGCAGGCACCTGGCTGAGTGTCTTTACATGCTGCCTTCAAATGGGGAGTTCAGTGCAAATCGACAGTTCTCTGCGGTGAATAACCTCCCCCTACCTTAAAATGTCACAGGGGAGAGGGACACGTGCGCTCAGTCTCCTCCAGATGTGTGAAGGGGGCAGGGGTGGAGGGGCAGCAGAGGAGGGAGAGCAGAGTTGTGACCTCCTGGGAGGGTGCTGTTGGAGAGAGGATTTCCAAGGCAGCAGGGAGGGGGCGGTATCCCAGGCAGTGGGGGGCGGCACGGAGTCGGAGGAGAAGCTGCTACAGAGTTGCCCGTGGCCTGGGGGAGGTGATGAGGGATGGTGCCCGGTAGGTGGACAGCCTGGAAGGCCCTGTTGAGTCTAGACTTCAAGGTCTGTGGACCAGAGAGTGCAAACTCCATTACCTCCGCAGGCCAGGTGGAGATCGTGTGAACTGAAGATGGACGCCTTGCCTGGGGTGAAGTGTGCAGGGCGTCCGGGGTGGGGTGCTGCAGCCAGCTCCTCTGCACTGCCCGGGGCCATGCCCACCGAAAGACCCAAGCAGGCCTCTGGCCACTCTGTCTGGCCGCCACAGAGCCTGGGATTGGACAGAGCCTTGACTGTCTGGCCCTCTCCCCACCCTGCTGTCCTGGGGCGGGGGTGGATGGTTGCTGGTCGCCAGGGCCATGAGCACGGCAAAGCTCTAGTCAACTTGGGAGAGGAGTTGGACCCTTTAGCCTTGGTGGTCTTGGCCAAAACTCGAGACTTTCACATAGAGGCGACTGGGTCTTTAAAGTTAGGGCTGAATGGTAGGGGCCTTTTCACCTCTTCAGTGCCCAGAGAAGAAGCAAAATGTCAGATGAGGCCAGTGTAGGTTCCTGAAACCCTGCCCCCTTGGCCAGTGGAGCTCATCAGGCTCATGCAATCTGAGGGGTCTGGGGTCTGGGGTCTGAGCAGTCAGCACATATTGAGTACCTGCTGTGTGCAAGGTGCTGAGGGCAATAGAGTTCTGGACCTGAGACCAGCCCACCACTGTGAGACAGAGGGCAGTGACACCCGGGTTCCATGCTGAGCCATGTTGGATGGACCACAGGTGGTCACATTTTGGAGGTGGGAGATGTTGCTGGGTGTTGAAGTAGTCCAGGAAGGCTTTCTGGAGGAGGTGGGAGTTGAAGTGGGTCTTGAAAGATAGGTGAGGTAACCCAGTACGGTTCTCGTGTAGAATAGCAAATAGCCTGAAGCAGCCTAAAAAACCAGCATCAGAAAATTGCTTAAATAAATTTTTTGTTATAGCTATACGATGCAATTTATGTAGCTGTTAACAATGGTGCATAAAATTTCATTATATGCTTGAATGAAGACTCTCATGTATAAAGTGAACTGGAAAAAAACAAGGATTCCAAACTGTGTAGACAGTAAGATGCTAATTATGTTAAACGTGTATATACATAGAAAAAAATTGGAAGGAACTAAAATAAGACACAAATGCATGTTAGAAAATACTATTTTGCATTTTCTGAAAGTTCTATAATGAATATACTACTCTTGTAAGTAGAGAAGACTAGATTTTAGGGAAAGGACCACCTGCTGCTATAGAAGGTAGAAGTAAACCCTGCTTCCTGACGACAGACGAGAGTGACGGGGGAGCTCCTTCTTGAGCTCCTGCCGCTGGGTGTGGAACGAGCTCCCCTGGCTTGCCCCCTTCTGCTGGGTTCCCTGCCCTGCCTCCCTGTGCACAGGCCTGGGGGTGCAGGTGGGGTGGCTGCTTCACAGCGGCAGGTGTCTCGCTGCAGAGTGGGAGGTCCCTGTAGAGCCTGGGCTGGCAAAGCTCCGTTCCAGGCTGGCGCTCACCTCACCCAGGTGGGTGACCCTGGCAGCATCACTCGCGTGCCCCCAGGCACTTGTGGGTGCTCTCGGGAGCCAGGCTTGTGCCTCCTGCCACCTGACCTTTGGTTCCCAGCCCTTGTTGCCCACTCCAGGCCTCTTCATCCCCCAAGAAGTGGGCTCCTTTCCACCTGGCCCCTGGTCTACCGCTCAGCTTGAGTTGAAGCCACTTTCCTCCAGCCCCTCACCCCCACTCAGCATCATCTTCTAGACTTTTCGAATGAGCTTGCAAAGAGTCAGGAACTCTACACTGTACTGAGCCTCCCCTCCCCTGAACCAGGCTCTCCTCCCCATCCACCACCGTCTCCCCACGTTAGTTCTTTCTCTTTGTAAAGGCCTCGTGTCTCCTGGTCCTCGTACCCCCGAGGGGCCTCTGTCTGACCTCACCCTTCCCCCCCTGGCCTCGGATGACAGCATGTCCGGCCAGTGGACCATCAGGCCAGACTGCCTGCACCCCACTCCTCTCCAGGGACAAGGCTCCTGGGTCTTTGGGGATGACTTAAAAACTGATCATTATGGCAGAGGAGCAGGATTTGGAAAGGCCTGGGAGAGTGTGGGACGGGAGGGCGTGGCTGGCCGGGACAGGGGCATTGAGGCCAAGAGGGGAAGAAGGAAGGACAGCGTGAGCTGGGAAGGAAAGGAACCAGCGTTTGTCTGGGGCCTGCTGTGAATCAGGCTGCCATGCTGGGCGCGGAGGTTTGATATCTCTTTTCATCCTTTCTATGGTCTTTTGTACTTCCGGACTGAGGATTCCTGTCTGTGTTCTTTTCATGAAAATTCTGAGCCTTTAGCTCATGGCGTGTTGCTATCCCGCATCCTACAGTCTCTTTTCTTGGAATTCCTCTTGCATTTTCAATTCTGGGCCTCCGTTGCTTTAGTGTATTTTCTTTTTCTTCATCTCTCTGCTATAGTCTGAGAAATTTCCTCAGATCTGCCTTCAATTTCACTATTTGCTGCTTCATTTGTATTTGATCTGCTGTTGAATCCATCCATTGAGTTTTCATTTTTAAGGCTATATTTTTTATTTTCAAGAGTTCTATTTGGTTCTTTTGAAAATCTAATTTAATATACTCTGGGTTCTCTTCAGATCCAATAAATGTTTTACCTTTTGCTAAAAAAAAAAGATTCAAGGGAATAATGTCTTGTTCCTTTATGTTTTTAACTCTATTTCATTAATCATTTGACTATACTTGTTTTTTAATTTTTACTACTGCTTCTGTAAGAGGAAGTTCCTAGGGGTCTAAGTCTGCTGTTCCTGTTGACTCTTGCTCACAGTGGATCGTTCTGGGTGGATTTTACGTAATTTCAGACCCTACACTCTTGCCTGGTGGAGCTTTATCTGTAATCCTGGGTGGAGGGGGTGCGTCCTCCAGAGGGGTTGCGCGTTTGTTTCAGGCA